TTGGCGAAAAATATATAATGTCTGGAGATTTTTGTATGGCTGCTGAGAAAGTTTACCTTACCGTTTTTCATGAGGGGGAAAACCTTGAATTTTGAACAAAGTCATTAGACACCTAGCTCAAAAGTCGAGAAAGGTCATTTCCCGCCATCTAGAAATCAAAATTTTCCCGGGGGAGGAATGTTGACCCCACCACCTAGATTTGATTCCAGATCTGCATGATTCATATTCCCATTCATCTTATAAGCAGTGGCGTAAAAGGCGGGGGCCAGGGGGGCAGACTGCAACCCCCCACCCCTACTGAGATTTGTGCTTCACGCTTGAGTGAACATTCATTGAATATTCATTAATTATGGTAAATGTAGAAACTATTGTTAATAACCAAATATATTGCTATGTGGTTGACTATTTGGTCTAACCATAGAGAAAATAGAACGGTCTAACTTGCATTAAATTAAGTTTCTTAATAATCAGTACAAGGAATAAAATGTCGTAGCACGTTTATTTCCGAATTTGGTATAAATATTGAGGATAGAGTTAGTATTTGTTAATGCTATAGAGAAAAAGCCACACAGACAGGCATAATTGTTGTTAAACTCATGTTTATTGTATTTCAGATGTTAATTTGTATTATAGCATCATTTGGATAACAGTTACATTTGTATTAGTAGCTGTAAGGAATCTGCATATGGTACGGAGTGAGCAAAATTCACGGTATGCGTGCTTGAGACTATGATAAATAATACTTTGCTTGAAATCTTGCTATAGATAATTGTCCCACGTTCATAAGTACAGTAATGCATTCACATATTGTTTAATTTAAGAAGATATAACTCACCTTATAGTATTATAACTTGCAGAAAAGGTTTATATTAGAATAACATAGAAATATTCATGTATATTATGACAATATTACAGCTACGTATATTGATATTTTGTTATTTGCTTAATGGAATTTGTTTCCTTATAGCAACAGCGTTTTTGGTGATTAAAGGTTGATTCATACAAAAACTCGTTCTCATGGTTTGTTCTCCGACCTATACATACATACTTTATACTGTTATAATGTAGTAGGCCTATTTTTTACTCATTGAGGATAGAAAACATTTTATTTAGGTGTATCGATATTACTCGTGCTGTACCGAAAATGTTTTATGCTAATTACACAGGATGCTAGATACAGTATATCAACACCGAATGAACGTAAACATTCAGTCATCGTTGAGCAGTAGGCGAGTTATTTATTTGACGACAGCGCCACCTACGTTCGACTACTTGAAATTTCTTTTTGAACAATAAAATGTAATATTTGAATTGCTTAGTGTAATGACTTTTCATGGAAAATTAAAATGAATTTTATTTTTGCTAATTAAAACAGACACACGATCGACGCATAACACAAGATATATAACGTATAACAGACTAGAAGCATAGCACATAGGCCCTAACAAACGTATTATAGCAGACGCATAACGCATGATGATTGAAGGATAATGTTCCTTGATTCTCTGCAAAAATCTTGATTTTTCTAGTAAAAATGTTTGACCTTCATCAGCGAGATTGATTTTATCGATCAGAGCCTCATTGGAGTTAAGAAAACACAATGTCACCGGGAACGTCACAGTACAAGCTTTTAATTCAAAGTGAAGTTATTAAATTTTGGAAATTTTGCCTGAGATCTGTAAACCACGAGGTTGCTCCCCGATCAAGATGTATTCCAAACATCATGAGGATATCTAAACAAGCATGTTTCGTACTAGAACGTTAACCTTTTTTAATTAGTCCCATTGAACAGGGGCGGATCCAGAATTGTTTAAACTGGGAGAGGGGCATTTGTATTTTTTTTTATTTCAATACATAACATTAATATGCACTGACATTTTAAAAATAGTGCTGACTTAGGTTCCAATAGATTTTTGAACGTAATTAATTTATTGTGAAGAAGAATATGTTGTTTCATGGGCTTAATTCAATGTGAAAAGTAATCGGTAGTCGGATAACTTACAATAAAACGGCACGTGAATTCATGTTATTATTATTATTATTATTATTATTATTATTATTATTATTATTATTATTATTATTATTATTATTATTATTATTATTGTTGTTGTTTTTTGTTATTATTGTGATGAAAAGTTAACACAAACGGTACACAAATAGGTCATTGAAGGCGATATGGTTGCTAAACGAACAGACATGTAAAGATATTTTTTAAATTTTTTTAATTCCCCGACGGAATGTATCCGTCTTCCCCGACGAGGGGAGCTATATCCCCAGTCCCCCATCCCCTCTGGCGCCACCACTGGTGCAACCAACGTTTCAGATAGGGTAAGCGCTGTGTAAACATAATGAGGGAAGGTTATTTATTCCTACGACAGCGCCACCTGCTTTTTGTGTTGCGTTATTAACTTGAATGCTTATATAAACGGTTGATCAGTTGAACGACAATGTCTTGCTGGATTACATGGCATTGACAGAATACCTAGTCGCATAGTGTGCAATGCTTCAATTTAACCCATGAAAAGAATGACGTCCGTACACATTAATATTTTCTTAAATGAAGTAATTTATAGCGCCGTCACCTCCGTGTTGCGTTAATAGCTTGAACATGCTTGAATAATTGGGATTCATCAATTCAATTAACTTGACAGTGAACAATTGAAATTAAAAATGATATTTATATATTTTGCTAATTAAAAACGCATAGGCCTATTCAGACGCATAACGCATAATAATATTTTCTTGATTTTCTGCAAAAATCTTCAACTTGATTTTCGTTTTAATAAGAAGTTAGACTTTTGTCAGTGAGATTGATTGTACTGATCAGGATTCCATTAGAAGTTGATAACTTTATAAAAAAAAAAACAGTTTGTCAAAAAGACACACTAAATAAATTGACAACTACTGATTTCAGGGTTCTGGTTGCAAACAAATTTATTATGTAATGTGAGTGCACATTTAAATTCCAAGCGAAGAGATAAAGTCATAAACCACAATGTGAAAAATGCCACCGAACAATATAATAACCACCGGGTTATATATTAGCAAAAAGTATAGAACTGCAGTTCTATACTCTTTGATATTAGTAAATGGGAATGAATGAGCGGGAAAGATTAGATTTTACTTAATTACGGTAATCAATTTGAACGATTACGCCTAATCACAGAAGAACATTGGCCTAGATCTAATATAATTAGGCCTATGTAGATAAATAAGTATCAAGTAATGGTATAATAATTCGTGTGCATTATATGCTGTTTCAGAAATATTACTGTTAAAAAAAAGACGGCAGTGGTAAAACTACCTCAGTGCCCCACCCTAAATCCGCCTCTGAACAGGGACTGGACAGTCGGCATTGTTAAGGTACTATTCTTCTCTACTCCCAAATAATAATAAACTTGACAAAAGACAGGTTATAGAAAATAGTTGTAGGATAACCATGATTGCTCAAAATTAATGTCTGAATAAAGAAATTTCATCATCAAAGTTTGAAATTAAACAATTTTCTTGTTTTTGTTACCATTAAACGCAGTCGGGTTGATCACTTCTTGCCCTGATGTTACTTGCCTATAAAAAAGAATTAAAAATTAATTAATATTAGGCCTATGTTAAATTATTGTGCAAGACGCTATATTTATTTAAATAAAGCCTCGGGCGTTTATTGTTGAGAATGACTTTGCTTCAATTATAGGCCTATGTTTCGCTTCGGGGCAAATCAAAGAATAAATATTGTTGGCATGAAAAAAAACATTCAAAAGTATATAACGCTAGAATCGATGGAAATTAATGTAGTCAGATTTGCATAGAGCTTATAACTAAAGTCTAAAAGCGCTCGAGGTTCGACTCAAATGGCCGAGCCATTACATCCGGGTACAGGCGTAAAAACTGCGGCTGCCACGGGTCCTCAAGACCAGCCATCATTTTTAATTTCAAATAATTAAAAATTGGACAAAATTTAAACCATAGAATTATACTCACACTCATACACAACGTCGAGATACTTGAACGTTCTGACACAGGGGTCACCAAACAGGCGGTTATGAGCCTGGACAACACACGTCCGTTTTCCTTGGCAGAGGTGTTTGACCGTAGATATTGATGACTTCGCAAGGCACGACGTGTCTTCATATCTCGTTGAGGAGTGACAGCGCTTGGCATATGGAACAGAGCGTCCGTAGCTGGCGCACACAATGTTAATGGTGCCGCTTCCACAGACGATTCTCAGGCTTCTATGTTCACATACGCCTATTTGGGAGACCCTTCCTGTAAGTTCAATCATTATTAGTATAAATTAATCAATCATTCAGAATGACTCCAGAGATCAATAAGCAATATGATATGC